AGGCAAACTAAAGAGAAAATTTTTAAGATTGGATATTTTGTCTGAAATTGGAAATCTCGAACTCAATCAGTTAAAAAATTAGATGCGACTTGACTGGGAAACTTCAGCTATTGGACACATATACGAGGAGATCTACTTTTCAAATCTGTAACAAATTTTTTTGACATTATTTTAATACGCTACACCACCTTTGGCACACAGGAGTATTAAATTTGTGCGGATGTATGCGATATCTAGGGATAGACCCACTTTCCGAACCGATTTAAACTTGTCTGTCCGTCTAATTTTGAATGTTATATATTTACACATTTAGCAAAACATGTTGCTAACATTGCCGTAGCGTAATTCTTCACCTCATGTAAAAGGAGAGCATACTTTCTCTTAATCTCTATATCCGTTTTACGATCTTTTTAAATTTTCGCGCATATTTCTACCGTGGCTTTAACTTAATTCCGACTTCAAAGACGGACTATGACCATGCAAAAATAACGCAGGACGGCTAACTTCTAAAATAATGGAAATAAACGCATTTAACAAACACGCCCGCATATACAAAGTATAAAGAAGTTAAAAAAGCCGCGTACGCTCAGAAGAACGTACGTATGTACATACAGAAGTCAAAAAAGAAAATCAAACTTTCGGTGATAGCTTGCCTTGCAGTTAAATAAAGAAAAAAATGGGTACCGACACAGAAAAAACATATCTCGACGCCACCCAAGTTCAACTCGTAAAAAAGAAGGAAGACCTGCAATAATAAAATGCTAAAAAAGCCTCACTTCTTTCAAAGATACAGAAGCCCGTACACGCAAATGCGTTTGTACATATGCATGTGTGTATATTTATATAAACGTAACACACATATCTTTCCTGGATATTGCAATAACGAAGATCAAAATAGGCATAATTAACAAAAAATGTATATATCTCTAAAATATCTTCAATAAAAATTCAGCTCTAAAAGCAAACTTTTAATTTTAATTTCTATATGACTTACCATTACCTTCCAATTTGAAGCTATCTTGTATTTGCCTAATATTTATTTTACTTTCGATTGGTTGATTTTGTGTGATTTAGTTTCATTGCTCACTACACCCTATAAGTCTCTTTCATTACTTTTACAACAACTTTTTAACACAACCGTTTAAAACTATTACAACAAATAAACGATCATAGTAAACCGTAATGCGCAATTCATTTCTAATTCATTTTTTGATACATGTCTGAACGTGTTTGCAGAAAAATGTACGCAAAGCTTGTACTTAAATTTGCCGAATAAATAGCAATTTGCATTATTGCAATAACGATGGAGCAAAGAGATGTGATCTTTATGATATAGAAGTTTTTCTGCAAAGTTTCACTTTATCGTAATGGCTATTCTAACTTTCCCTGTCGTTTTGCTAATTTTACGCTTTCATTGATGTCCAGGATATTTTAAAAAGTTCTCCATCCATTATTTTAGGTATTTTTGCTAGAAAAACTTTACTCAATTGATTAAGAAAAATTCTTCGCACAAATAATCGACCGCATGTTCTTACAACCAAAACGAGAATGAAAAGAGAAGTTATGCACGTTTAGTATGTCATGTAATTTTATTCCATTTCATTCCAGTAAGAATTTTTGATATTTTTGCTTCGTTATCGTAAATCTTTGGAAAAGTGATTAGAGAGCAGAGAGAGGTAGCAAACAAATTTTTACGTTTTTTGAGAAAACATGAAAATTCATATATTTTCGTTAATCACTTGTTTAAATATTTGTGACGAAAAATCTTGAAATGGGTAGTGCATTAACAAAAATGGAAGAGAATATATATAGAAAAGAAGTAGTAATATATTACAAAATAATAGTGTGAAAAAGAGGCAAACTAAAGAGAAAATTTTTAAGATTGGATATTTTGTCTGAAATTGGAAACCTCGAACTCAATCAGTTAAAAAATTAGATGCGACTTGACTGGGAAACTTCAGCTATTGGACACATATAAGAGGAGATCTACTTTTCAAATCTGTAACAAATTTTTTTGAGATTATTTTAATACGCTACACCACCTTTGGCACACAGGAGTATTAAATTTGTGCGGATGTATGCGATATCTAGGGATAGACCCACTTTCCGAACCGATTTAAACTTGTCTGTCCGTCTAATTTCGAATGTTATATATTTACACATTTAGCAAAACATGTTGCTAACATTGCCGTAACGTAATTCTTCACCTCATGTAAAAGGAAAGCATACTTTCTCTTAATTTCTATATCCGTTTTACGATCTTTTTAAATTTTCGCGCATATTTCTACCGCGGCTTTAACTTAATTCCGACTTCAAAGACGGACTATGACCATGCAAAAATAACGCAGGACGGCTAACTTCTAAGATAATGGAAATAAACGCATTTAACAAACACGCCCGCATATACAAAGTATAAAGAAGTTAAAAAAGCCGCGTACGCTCAGAACAACGTACGTATGTACATACAGAAGTCAAAAAAGAAAATCAAACTTTCGGTGATAGCTTGCCTTGCAGTTAAATAAAGAAAAAAATGGCTACTGACACAGAAAAAACATATCTCGACGCCACCCAAGATCAACTCGTAAAAAAAACGGAAGACCTGCAATAATGAAATGCTAAAAAAACCTCACTTCTTTCGCCGAAAGATACAGAAGCCCGTACACGCAAATGCATTTGTACATATGCATGTGTGTATACTTATATAAACGTAACACACATATCTTTCCTGGATATTGCAATAACGATTATCAAAGTCGGCATAATTAACAAAAAATGTATATATCTCTAAAATATCTTCAATAAAAATTCAGCTCTAAAAGCAAACTTTTAATTTTAATTTCTATATGACTTACCATTACCTTTCAATTTGAAGCTATCTTGTATTTGCCTAATATTTATTTTACTTTCGATTGGTTGATTTTGTGTGATTTAATTTCATTGCTCACTATACCCTATAAGTCTCTTTCATTACTTTTACAACTTTTTAACACAACCGTTTAAAACTGTTACAACAAATAAACGATCATAGTAAACCGTAATGCGCAATTCATTTCTAATTCATTTTTTGATACATGTCTGAACGTGTTTGCAGAAAAATGTACGCAAAGCTTGTACTTAAATTTGCCGAATAAATAGCAATTTGCATTATTGCAATAACGATGGAGCAAAGAGATGTGATCTTTATGATATAGAAGTTTTTCTGCAAATTTTCACTTTATCGTAATGGCTATTCTAACTTTCCCTGTCGCTTTGTTAATTTTAAGCTTTTATTGATGTCCAGGATATTTTAAAAAGTTCTCCATCCACTACTTTAGGTATTTTTGCTAGAAAATTTTTACTCAACTGATTAAGAAAAATTCTTCGCACAAATAATCGACCGCATGTTCTCACAACCAAAACGAGAATGAAAAGAGAAGTTATGCACGTTTAGTATGTCATGTAATTTTATTCCATTTCATTCCAGTAAGAATTTTTGATATTTTTGCTTCGTTATCGTAAATCTTTGGAAAAGAGATTAGAGAGCAGAGAGAGGTAGCAAACAAATTTTTACGTTTTTTGAGAAAACATGAAAATTCATATATTTTCGTTAATCACTTGTTTGAATATTTGTGATGAAAAATCTTGAAATGGGTAGTGCATTAACAAAAATGGAAGAGAATATATATAGAAAAGAAGTAGTACTATATTACAAAATAATAGTGTGAAATTGGGCACATGTAAGAGGACACCTACTCACTACTGTTCAGCTGGCAGTGTTCAGCTCTGACAAGTATTTTTGATGTCCCATAAGTGATACTGGATCATAGGTTAAATTTTGAAAGCCCATTGCATCTTTTATATCCCAGTAAATCGCAGTGAAAAAAATCGCGCTGGGAGTAATCAAGTAACTGGGAGTGATATTTCGCTTTCAGTTTCAGCACCTGAAGCAGCAGAAATGTACCTGAAAACGAAAGCTAGAGTTCAATATTTCATACGTGGTAACTCACCAGTTTCGCAGAGGAGTTTGATTCAAAAGAAACAAACGTAAAAGACAGCGTAGCCTTTACAGAAAGGTTGTATAGATTAAATTTAGCTTTGCTGGTTTTTTTTATAAATCGATCTTAGTTAATTTTTAAAGAATATTTTTGTAATCTTTTCATATGCACGTACTTCTCCATATTCCTCCACTATTTAAATAAATGAAATCCATCTAAAAAACGGTTTTATAGATTAATAATTTTGTTGTTGTTTTATTTTTTTTATTGAATTATGACATGAACGTTTATTTTTCGTTTTTTTTTTTTTTTTTTTAATATAATTAATTTATAATTATGTGCCATTCATGCAATACATACGTTTTTTACATACACACAGTTAATTGTGAATGATTAATTTTTAATCAGTATGCATGAGAGATTAAAGGAAGAGAATCATTTTTTAAAGTTTTTTTAATTAGATGCTTTTAGTCCATATATATATATATATATATATATATATATATATATATACGTCTGTGTACTTCATGAACTTAAGAAAAATTATGTGAAAATATTTAAAAAAGCAAAAATAAATTGAATAAAATTATTTAAATAAATAACAACAAGTAAACACTTAATACTTAACGTAGGGGAAAATTAAATAAATTAAATAGAAAATACAATAAATTAAATAAAAAGAAATTCACTTATGTTTAAACAAAAAACCGAAACAAAATAACAACAAATTCAGAAATTAAAATTTTCACTTTTATTTTAGTTTTAAAACATTTCTTTCAAAGATTTTTCTCCTTTTTTCATTTTAACAAATTACTTATATTTTTAGTTTTAAATTTTTTCTTCAGGGTATTTTTATTACATTTCTTTTTATAGTTGTGTTGCTTAAAACACTTGAAAGTTTTTAACATAGTTCTGTTTGTGGATTTTAGGGTTTGCTTATTTTGTACAATTTTTCAATTGTGTTTCTTTCCTTTTTATCGACATATTTTACTTTTTATATATTTCTAGAGGTGTTTTGATTTTCGATTTTTTTTTTTTTTTGTTTTAATAAAAGTTGATTGAGTTCAAAAAGAATGCGACAGAAAATAATATTTACAAATTACGCGCTTCGATAGATAAATTATCAAAGTAAAGTAAATTTAAAAAAACTATTGAAGTTTCAATGATGTGTATAAGAACACAGGAGAAGCTGTTGTTTTATTCTATAATTTATATATTTATGTGGTTGTTTGATACTAATCATAAATTGTGTCGAAAAATAATTTTCTATTCTTTTTTTTACGTTTATTGTCTATTATTGGTTTGTAGTTTTAATTCTATATAAATAAAATGCAAATTAATCGGAAAAGAATGCATAGCAGCAGAAGTAATTTCACTTAAAAAGTTTACTATAGAATTTTAATTTTGCTTTTATTACGCATACAAATAAGTTTCACTGTACATTTCTTTGATTATGGCTTTTGTGGTTGTTTTTGCGAATTAAAACTTTCACTTTCTTATGCTCCCCTTTTTGATTTTTATTTTAATCTTTTATGACGATTTATAAACGATTTAACTGGCTTTGGCTGACCCTTAAAGGCAAGCGTAAATTTCTTTTTCAAACTATTTACCGTTATACAATTTGGTAAATAATTAATAAAAAGGATAATAGGCTTTTAGGCCTATTAGGATGAGGCTTTCCCAATGCATAAACACCAAGAGACATGACATTGTTTGATCACAGGCTTTACTAAATGATTTTTAATTTGTTCCATCTTTCATACCAGGTTCGTTTTGAGAAAAATTTTTCTTTATCTATAAAAACTTCATGGAAATCAATTATTGCAGCAAGCACAGAACTACTTTATACATTTTTAATAGAAATATTCGACTATATCCCTCCTATCATTTAAAGAGCCAGGCCCTGTGGTCACTATAACTAGAAAAATGGAAATCATTGATCATGCTCTCCTCTAGTAATATCTTCATACTTGTAGGAAGATTTTCTTCATGGTTTAGCAATTACACAATTCTTCACAATTTCTCTTTTTCAATGTATTATTAATTTTTAATGTAATTTCCCCGTTATTTTTCTCCAGGCGTTCTACTTTTTTAATTTATATTTCCAGGAAGTTTTTCGCGGAATTTAGGTATCAAGATGAAAAAAATTTAGATTAACAAAACATTTATTAACAACGAAGGCAATCACAATGAAGTGATCACAACACATCAGCGAAGTAATCACGTAGCCGAAAGTTAGTTCTTGCTAGGCAAATAGTTACGAAAGCGAAAGTCAATTTTTCATACGTGATTGCTCGCCAGATGTTTCGTTGCATCCCGTTTTCTTTAGCAATTTTTAATTTATTTAAGTGTTATATAGAAAAGTAATCATTTCTTCACTTTATATCGACAAAAAGATAAAGTTGTTTTATAACTGTACAAAAAAAAAAACAAACAAAAATTAAAATGCCGTTTTATTTTGGATTTATCTTTCCTTATTTTCCCATCATATTTCACACTTACTTGAAGTAAGTTGTTTGTTGAAATTTCTTAAAAATTCCACACTATGGTATTTATCTGACACTAAATTATTGCAGTGGTTGTAGAACATGATTGTGTAGAGCTAAGCAAATAAAAAAGGCTTTTTTATATCTTAAATTTCTACTATTTAATTTTGTTAAGGTGTATGTTCAATTAATGTTAATGAAATACACACAAGCTGGGGATGGAAACTTTTGATACTTGAAAAATTTATTCTGATACTCTTTCAAAGGAAAAAAAATTTTTTTGAAATTTAAAAAGATTGAACACGTTGTAACTTATACGCTTATATATTTTCTTCAGCACTAGCTATTGCGGACTTTTGTATGAGAATTCAGAAATGAATTTATGGAAATACCGAAAACGTTGCGCCTGTATGTTAAGCTTTTTGTGCCATGTCATATATATAAAAACGTACCGATTTCCTCCCATTAAAGCATGGGTTGAAAATATCTTATGTGTAGTTTTGCTAGTATTACTGTGACACGTTCAGATGTCAGTCCACAATAGCTTATGGGAACATAAGCGATTCTATAAAAAATTAACATTGTGCAGAGGTTTAGCGTTAAAAGTCGCTAATTTTTAAAAGATTTTTGCACACTAGCTATTACCAGTTGATAAATTTACACAAAAATGTAGCACAATGAGAATAGAGAACTTTTGCTTTTTGGATGTACTTTTGCTTTTGGATGTAACGAAAATTCATTCCGTTAGTTCAAAGCAAAAGAAATGGAATTGAAACGTTTGTTTCGGCTTTTTAACTATATGTTTCTTTTTTCTTTTACACTAGCTTTTGCTGACTTTTGCAATAAATTGACAGTTAGGCTTTTCAAATTGGAAATCCATTTGCATTGAGTATAGCATAGCATAGCACAGGCCGATTAATGAACTTTAATATTCTGACTTCATAAGCATATGTTTTAAAGGCCAAAGTTTTGATTGAAGCTTCAAAATTTGATTTCTTCAAAAAGGGATATGTTCATCTGCGCATCTTACTTAGAAAGTTTACATTACATTTAAAATTTTTGAATCAATCAGAATTTTTAAGAATATTAGCAGATTCAAAGAAGAAATAAAATTTAGAAATGATTTTATGCATATTACGAAAATGTTGGACCGGTCTGTTATGTCTTTTATGATCGGTTTCATTACAGAAGTTGTTTAAAATATCTTATGCTTAGAATTCTATTAGATTCTTTTTGTGGTGCTGACACGATCAGCTGTCAGTCCATAGTAAGTTATTGGAGCTGAAGGGATTATGTAAATGAAATTTTTAAAAGACTTTTTGTAAACCAAGCCGTCACCAGTTAATAAATTTACGAAAGTTACCAAATTTTGTTATTAGCTTCTCTTTTCAGTATGTAAATATTATTTTCCTTAGTCATATTTATAGTTTACAAACTATTTTCTATATGTTAATTATATTTTATATAATTGATTTTATATAATTCATGCATTTTTCTTCTTATTTCTGAGGAATAACTAATGTATAATTTGGCCACGATAGGCGACCAATTGTGTTAGTTATAGTTGTGGTAGTTGAGGTTGTTGTATTACTTCTAGAAGTCATACTTACCAAAACATGATTGACCAGATTATTATCGGGTCATTTGCTTAGCGAACTTGAATTACTTAGAGCGGTTGTAGTAGTCGATTTATAAGCTGTCGAAGAATTTACTAGAGTTCCCGAAGCTGGAGCCGGTGCTATACGTATATGTTTTGTTTTTGAATGCACCACATAATTGCCATCATTATGTGATGAACGTATGGTGGCCGATATGGAGACATTTGTTGCTGGGGATGGCTTATGTATTTGCGATATTAAATTATAACCACCCGTCCGTGGTATAGGACGTTTATTGGCTCGATTCGGACTAGCTTGATGATAATTTTGTGTAGAGGATGTTGCCGGTTGAATTTGCTTACCATGGCCAGTAGTGGATGAGTTGTTCGAATTAATATTTGGCGTAGTTGAGGAAGCTGAAATACGATCCAATTCAGTCATTGCCTCTTGTATGGCTCTTTCAAGTTGTGAGTTCAATTTTCGGCTCCTTTGGAATTGTTGCAATTTTTTTGTTTTTTTATTTTTTTTTATTTTTATTTTTATTTTTATTTTTTTTTAATTTTTTTTTTTTTTTTATATTTTTAGCAATGTCGCAGTAGAATTTGTAGTTGTGTTGTAAATGGTTAAAAGGAGTATTGGATTAAAAAAAAGTAAATTAAAATAAAAAAAATATATTTTTTTAAAACGAATCAACAAAAATTTAATATAAATTTGAAGACAAATTTCTAAATATATAAAACTAAGGCAAAACTAATTTAACTAAATTTCAAAAACAAAGCTACTAATTACTCAAAAAAAAAAAAAAAAAATTATTACTTTATATACCAATAAGCATTCCATACTTTTTAATTAATTGCATTATATTTAGAAAAAAGTTTTTACGCGAAAATTTTAAAGTAAAACGGAAATAATTTCGCCTAAATTCTTGGATTTAGAATAAAACAAAACAAAAAAAAAAATAAAAAAAAAAAATAGATATATTTCACTGTTCCCCGTAATTGTAAGAAGAAAGAAAACAAAACTCAATTGATTTATAAGAACCGACTTTCAAAAATTGTTTTCCTAACGACTTCCGGCAACTTAAACTCTAAAATGCTCACTTTCTGGTATCCTTTTGAGCTTTGTGATGGGCCTCCAGGCCTTCAGAAAGACTTTGTAATGAATTCACAGCCATTAGCTCAGAGTTGGAACGGCCGCCACCACCAAACCACTGCACCCATACCGATTCTCCATAATTATCGGGCATTTTCACTATTTTACCTGGCCAAGCTGGATAGCCGCGTGCTGGACCCCATATTAGTTCACCTACAGCAAATGTACGCTGTAAACTTACCGCCAAAGGTGGCGTAACCGTCACTGTCGACAATGTCGATGACGACGATGATGACAATGGTGAAATTTTTATGATATTATTTGCATTATTATCGATTTCTTCAATCGAATTCATATCTACGTGTGTTGAAGCTTTCATGGATGATTTTAAACGATTTCGCGTTTGCTTTAACGTTTGTTGTTGTGGGGACTTTTTATTTTGTATTGATGACGCTGGGGCTTGTGATAAGGGCAACGGTGCTTTTGATGAAGAATTTTGTAAATTCAATTGATGTGGTTGCTGTTGTTGTTGCTGCTGTTGTTGTTGCTGTTGTTGTTGTTGTTGTTGAAATTGTTGTTGATATAATGGGTTTGGTGTGGACGATGGTGGCGGTGGTGTTATCATTAAAGTGGTTGTAGGAGAATTTTGTGGTGAATCTAAAGAAATACCACTTTCAATAAGAAAACACAATACAACAATTGCAATAATTCATGTTACAAATGCATATGTATTACATAGAGGAGGGAGTGGGGGGAAGAAGCGAAGACAGACCGAGAATTTCATATATGTTCAGCCGATGAACGTATAGTAGCTTATGAGAATGTTATGATGAGAATTTTAACTATGTTTAAGCGATGAAAGGTAAATGAATTATTCAGATCCAACACCTTTTAATTAAATTTTATTTAAATTATGAAAAATTCATTTCTGGATTCAAACTCCTTTCGTTTTCCTATTAAATTTTTTATCCTTGTCCCCGGCAAAGAAAGATAGTGTGAAAATATGTAATCTCTTCCATATGACAGTCACCACACAGTAAATCAATATTAATTTTATTAAAAAAAAAAAAAAAAAAAAAAACATTTTTTTTCCGAATTATAGTTGGTTTTTGTTCATCATGTGTTGGCGAAAAGACAGTGAGCGGCATATAAAAGATGTAAAAAAAAAAAAAAAAAAAGGTGAAATTATATCGCCGCCATAAAACGCATCATCAGACTTTGGCCGCAATAAATCATGACAAAAAATCTTTATTAATACAATATATTGTTCGAACATTCGAGTTTTATATACTGCATACCTATACATATATACATATAAATACATATATATGTATTTACATAAATAAACGTTTTATATAGTTGTTGTCTCCGTACAAGTATATCGAGCATCGATGGTATTTGCTGCTACTCAAAAATGTTAAATTGATGAGGTTCATGAATACATTTTTGTGTGTGTTGCTTGAAAATTGAGAGATATTTTCATTTATTTTTTATCCTCTTGTTTTTTTTTCCTTAATTTTCTATTTTTTTTTTTTCTCAATTTATCGTGGGGTTAAGCTGGTCATACTAGATAACTCAGCATGTTTGTGACATTCAGAAATACATGCCGCAGATACCTTTAAAGGTTTGCTTGAAAGTATTATATCGATTTACATATTATATGCCTTGTCTCGTCAGTTGGAAGAGAAAAGTGAAGCTTTGGATACATGCTCTCTCGATTAAGGGCGAGAAATGAGATTGTAAAGTGGACCACCATTTAGTCAGCTGCATGCCTACTAGTAGTAGGTAGTTGTTAAAAAAGTTTGCAAGCAACGAACCGCAAAACAATTTTGGCACGCCCACTATTTCTAACAGTTTAGGTATCTACAGTTCGTCTTGATGTGAATCCAACTCTTCCCCAAAAGCTTTTGTTTGTATTAAGCCATTATTAAACAATGAGTTTTAAGTGTGTCTTTCTCTCTCTCTCTCTCTCTCTCTCTCTCTCTCTCTCTTTCGGTCGTTCTATGACAAAGGCATGGCTCATTTTTGTCTTTCATCAGACATTGAATATTTGATAACCAATTTCCACAAATAAAACATAAACAAAATACTATTTGGATTGACGTGTTTTTGTCGTCAATGGGAGACGAAACGAAATTAATATATAAAATGTAAAAAATTATTTGAAAAACTTTTCAAGCTGCTCGACAATTCTTTTTTGCGGTTTATTTAATTAAATTTTGTATATATAGGAAGGAGAGAGCGAGCGAGCGAGAGCGAGAGAGAGAGAGAAAGCTGAATGTTTGTTTGGTTGTTTGTTATAGTGACAATTTTTAAAATATTTAATGAAAATGCCATTAATGTGTGTAGCTGCTGTCTGGGCTTAACAGCATCAAATGCATTTGTTTTATGTAACTGTTCAAGTTATACGCAATCGTGGTTTTGCTGTCAGCATTGTTGCGGTCGTAAGAATTGATTGCAAGTTATTCGAACGTGAATACCAAAGTGTTGAAAAAATGAGATAAAAATCAATGCATTTTGAATTTAATAAACCAACACATTCAACGTATTGCTAACGATGGCCTATCAATTTTATCAGTGACGCTTGACAAGCGACCGGTAACTGTACGAAACGAAACCACAATTTCACCTCTTGTACAAAACAAAAGCAAAATTGCACACATTTTTTTTTTTTTCCACTTTTTATCCACTTATGCAAGAAATCTAATCTAAAGATTAGCACGTTTTATTTAGTCAGATGCTGGCGATGTGATTAACAGCAGAAAAATCAGAACAAATCAAAAGAAAAAGAGTACAGCACCCCATTGGGGTAATGCATACAATCTCTTAAAAGGTTTGCGAACGAAGCCTACATTAATTAAAGGGTAATTTTATACTTTCTAGCAGATCACGGGAACATATTAGTAGAAGTGATTTGTCCGTTTGTAACATTAAAACTACCAATGTTTTTTTATATACACAACATGTGACATCTATTAATGTGATTCAGTTTTGCAGGGAACTGCCGTACCCGCAACACTGAAGATAGTCTAATATTTGGTACTTATATGCCCCAATCGATTAAGGATGTTGAGAATGAAAGAATGATTGCGTGTCGCTCGCAGAGTTGTGAAAATAAGTATTGGCCATCAGTGTCTCGAAAACTCTAGCAACAAAAGCAACAAAAAATTGATTGCACGCAGTTTTGAAGGCATTATTTTCAAGCTCGAAATTGTCCACTTTGGCAGTGCGAGGGTTGAAAGAAAGCGTACACATTGCCGACTCCTGAGATATATATATATATATATATATATACTTTTGATTACGCTAAGCTTTTCAAATCGAGTCTTTCCAGTTTATGCGTCCGCCCGTGAAAATATCCATGAACACACCTGGCTAAATATGATGGATGAACGAACCAGAGCGAGAGTGATAAAGACACACACACACACACACACACTTGCTTGAGGAAAATTGTAAAGTGAAATTTTCATTGTAAATATACTCGCGCTAGAGATATCATTGCAAGACATTTTTATTTTTTTCATTTTGTATGGTTAGTAAAACTGTCATCGACATCTGTCGATGTCTCACGTCATTTGGTATATTAGTAGCTAGATGAGAGTGGCTTTTGTCATTGCTGGAAATTATTGTCGGCGACTTGTCAAAGTGAATTAATTTATTGAACAAAAAAAAAAAAAAGTGCTCCATAGCACGGTTTATAACGCCTTGTTTTACCTTGTTTTATAACCATTTCCGTCAATAGATAAAACATTTTTATTAGACAACATTAAGCAGTGGCTTTCAAATAAATCGCATAACGAATATATTAAGGTAACATCTGTTGTTCATAAAATGTTTCAATAAAAATTTGATTTGAGATGCAAAAAAAGAATGGCCAATGGCAAACTTGTGGCTCTTCCCACGAAATTATTGCAAAATCCGAGATCCCTCTATTAATATAGAGTGAGAGAGAAACTTTGCCATAAGAGGGACAATTATATTTAAAAATTAAGTTCTATGGAAAACACAAAAAGCACACGCGCCACATTTTTCTCAAATTACAACTATTTTTTTACATACTAACACAATTGCATAAATAATTTAATAGTTGAAGGAAATAAGTGAAGGAAATAAGTAATTTTGATACAAGGAATTATTATTTTTTTACTCGTATGAAAAATTTGTGGGCGAACGTTTTTGTTTTTTGGAAAGACTGCGCTACCGGCAATGTATTAAATTTTAGATGAAAAAAAAAAATAAAAAAAATCATCTATGAGAAAGAATTTTTCTAACATCAATCTATTAAAGGAACGTCACTGCAGTTGCGAATGACTTTCGAAAGGAAGAATCCTGTTGTCAATTTTTCACAAAATTAATGTTTTTTTTTTTTATCTAAGATGATCCCTTAAGTGGACAATAATGATTTGAAAAGATGGTTGCAAGCGTGACGATATTTTACCTAACGCAACAGTCATGTAACAGTTTATAGGCATTTAAATGTCCAAAGAGAGTTTTTTTTTTTTTTAAACACTGTTCACTGTTCATGTCACTCATCCCAACTTCAATAATTTTCATTTCAAAGAGATGGACGACTGAGAGGGCTGAGAGGGGGGATTTTCGATAGGTCATTTTTATCAACAAAAAATCTAGGTTTTTGTTCAAACACATACTGTTCGCAAAAAAGCATCAATGTATCCAAAACTCCGCCCGTATTGTATATGCTGCAAACATGTAGGTTAGATGATCCTTTTTTTCGTTTCGAATTTGCGTCAGCTACATGCTTCGCGTTACGGAGGCCGTCAACTTAAAGATGTCTTGCAAGAATGGCTACGGTGTTGCCATCTTTTGTTATTTTTCAATGCTTACGAGTAGGTGCGAATATTATTAGTCTGTCACATGTCCTTCCAAACAAAATATGTAAGAATTGGAAGAAACGTCTTTTTTTTTTTTTGGGCTCCTACAATGACGTTCCTTCTTATCCGATTTTGCGTGAAGGAATCCTTCCGACTCCAAGAAAAATAAGAAAACCTGTTGCATTTTTATGCTATAAGAGTTAAATAAAATATTGATAAGTTAATTCGTTGACTGGAATGATGGACTGATCTCCACCGTCTTTAATGTCTATCATGAGCAGGAATTTTAAATCATCTTAAATAATAAGACGAATGGAAAATCTCCAAAATTGAGTTAATCTTCTAAAATCTGATATTATTATATACTAAGACGACTTGTTAATAACATAACTAGGCGTGATGTAAACTAAAATCTCTCAGTGATGAGAACCTGTAGATAAGTACATTTATAGCTAACGACAAACTTCTTGTGTCTTAAGAGATTAGTCCTTTCAAAATATATTAATATTTTGCAGGAACGAAGGGATAAGCGAGCGGTTCCCATTGTCGATTAATATAAATCTTAAAATTGCTTTTATGAAATTAAAAATTTTTATCAAATTTATTATTTTCTGATACACTCTGAGGAATACCGCGTGCGGTAATAGCATGTGCAACGCGCAGAAGTCATAAAAAAAAAAAAATCTTCAGAGAACAATGAAATAAAAAAAAACTCGCCCGCCCGCATAGAATATATCGATTTTTTATTGGGTAACTGGGTGTATTATTATTATTATTAGTCAACTATAGGATGAGATTCCCTTTTAATTTTTGTTTTGCATTAATATTATTAAATTTTTCCTTCACTTGTTTCTTTTTTTAATATTCTTGCGAATCTGAACTCGGTTTAGGATGAATATAAAAAACAAAAAAAAAAAAAAAACAAAAAAAATAAGAAGGAAGAAAATTACTTTGTCTACAATCAAATTATCCGTTATCCCTAACTAACATATCGATTCCTATACATAATTCCTAATAATACGATGATAAAGTCAATCAATGAATAAATACATATATCATCGGTAATACAGAAAGGAGCAACAAAAAAAAAAAATATGTATATATATATATAAAAATAAATAAAAAGTGCTTTGAGAAGCAATAAAAACAATTCAACCGTGAATAATGAGATTTGTGAAAGCGTAACGATGAAATCGATATATAGTAGAAAAACAAATATTTTTGATTTTTTTTTTTTAGCTTCAGCTTAAGAAGAATTTCTAAACACTTACTACGTAATTGCGTACAGCAACCTACAGCAGCAAATTATTCTACTGCGACCAAAAAGTAAGATCAATTTAATTAATTATTCTTTTATCAAATCTATTTTGGCCTCTCTCTAGCGCATAATAATCAAATAATATTCTTTGCTAATAGTTTGGCCCGGCGGAAGGAATTCATAGTGCACAACATCACGATAATAGAGGAGAACTGCATTTTTGAGCGACTTTGGCGCGGTTTTTTCGATCGTGGCTGATCTTGTGCGCGATCTTTGCTCGATTGATCGGTTTCTTCTGATACGTATGCGTAAATTCAAGTCTCAATTCTCATTTGGAATGGAATTTTTTTTGCCTAACACAATCATGCACATTGTAAAAATCGGGAAAACTATTTTTGTGTCATGCAAAACCAGGCGCAGCTGGAACGATAACTAATATGATTTATGATTCAAAATTTGACATAAATATCTGTCACAATGCGATAAATTTAGAACAAAAAAAAAAAAAAAAAGAATTGAACATTTCTCATATTTGATATATCCGGGGAAATTGACTTGAATTTCCATTGATCTTACTTTTTGGGCATAGTATTATATGGTCAAATCATCAACGGTTACGAATGGAATAATAAACTGAAACTATCCACTGCTCAAGTGCAAGTAAAGTGCCTTTACATACATTTTATTATATTATATATGAATAAATAAATACATTGATAAACTTCGATGGTATTAGTAAAATAATTGCGGCTAATCAGATTATAAAGAGTATATGGCTAAAGCGTAATATGAGTAGATCAAATGACGAGAACGTAACATGAAAACGAAAATGACGACAAACAAGAAGAAGAAGAAGAATAAAAAGAAATTATACGTAAAATATGTTATAAATTAAATCGAAAATAAATGATAAAGAGCTATATGAATGAATGGGTGAGTAAATGTGTTAAGTGAGTAAGTGTAAGTAAGTGTAAGTAAGTGAGTGAGTGAGTGAATGAGTGAATGAGTGGATGAGGTGTTTGGAGCAAAAGAATAATCAACACAATGTTATGACATATATATATATATATATACGTACGTTAGAGATTTTTGTGTGTTTTGTGTAAATTTCAACATTCCAAAGGACTCGCAAATAGGGTGTATGCGTACGTGTGTTTGTTATTTAGCAAATGATTACCAAACCATACAAGCATTGGTACAATTTGGTGCTTTGGTGCGCATTTGTTTACTTTTTTTCCGTTTAAATTTTTTTTTATTTTTTTTTTATTTATTTATTTTTTTTTTGTTAACTTTGTTTATGTGCAATGGAAAGTAACTCTCTAAACATATTAACAATATTACTTACCATGAGAGTCAGGTTGTGAATTATGACCGTGCTGTTGTTGTTGGTGGTGTTGTTGTTGTTGCTGCTGCTGTTGCTGCTGTTGCTGCTGTTGTATAAATCCCAAGTTGGTTATACCTTGTGTTTGGGTGACATTGCCACCTATCAACTGATATTGCGGTGGTGTTTGCACGCGACGAATTTTCACATCCGTTGGTTTGTAAATATTTGCGTTTTGATATGCGGTCGATATAACAACGCCTGCATTACAAATAATCAAAATCAAAGATAAAAAAAAAGGGGAGATATATTGAGAGAGAAAGAGAAAGAGAGAGAGAGAGAGAGAGAGAGAAAGAGGAAGAGAAAAACCACAATGAATATATGTATATTTTAGTAGCAGTATTAAATCAGATTTACGCAAAAAATAAGCCTACGTTGTCATACTATGTCAACACATCAAAAATCAGTGTATGTCTGAAAAGAAAAAACAGCTAGATTGCTGACACAATCCTCTTTTCTTGTCGCCATAAGTTGATTTTCATTCATACACTCCATCGCAGATTAGACGCATAATTATCTTGTCATTGCGTTTGCGACCTACATGAAGCCCTACGAAGGATTTAAGGGTTGATTCAAAATTTATTTTCCCTTTTTTCAACTATATGTTTGCCTATTAAGCGACCAGCTTGTCCTTATGTTTTTATTTGTTATCTTTAATCAGTTCAACTGTCCATGATTCCGTCCTTCTTTCCGTGCTCACTTCACATCACTTTTCAACCGTATATTCATTTATGGACGCGTGCCTTTCTTCGTCCATTGTTCTAATCACTGAATTTTAAGTGATTAAGATAACAAAACACAGAAGGATATGAAACTCGATATAAACAGTTTTAGTGCCGTAAGGCTTTGATAATTAAGAAATTCCCCATGGCTGATAGTAGTTATTAGCAATAATAATTTTGCAGCTCCTAGTAGTACATATTGATCTAAAATGTGATACCTATAATGATTATTGGAGAAGTGAACTGACCCTCAGAGTTGAAAATTTGTGAAAATCTTAATTAATCTGTAAATCCAAGAGGGGTATCCGAAATTCTCTTTAGAACGACCATAGTGTATGTGTTTCCTTATTTTGTATTTTTTTTTTTTTGCCAAAATACACACTTATATGTGTTTTGTATATTTTTCCACATAATACCCACCAAGGGGGTCCTTATGTAATAACAGCACACACTTACTACCCATTAAATGATGACTTCCTTAAAGTAACTACGCACAGGCTTTAAAGTCTTACCCATATCAGCAGTACGTAGTACGTCTGTATCGATTCTCGTTACAAATATGTTTGTCGGTATGTTTTCCCATTTATATCAGTATACAACACAAGTATAGCATAGCTTTATGGCTATAATTTAATGCTATGCTCTATTGAAGTTTAGAAAGATTTTTCTAATTTTTTTGTTATCGTTATTATTATTATTGTTGTTGTTGTTGCTGCTATTATTATTATTATATTTATTTACTTATGCCTATGGATATGCGTTGCTCTTATATTTGATGTGTGCGTAACGGTATCTAATAGTGCATGGAATTTATGACACCCATTGCTCTAAAATCATTGGCATATAAAAATCTTTAGCTTTTCTTCTTGTTTTTTTTCTTTTTTTCTTTCTTTTAAATATATTTTGGACTGAATGAATAAAAATGTATGGCTGATTTTTTTTTTTTTTTTTTTTTTTTTTTTGTAAAAAAAAAAAATAAAAGAAATTTTTTTATGTTGAAACTTTTTTCTATTTGTACCTAATGTTGCGTTTTAATATCGTTTGATTTTACTCTCAGTGCTGTACTTTTTCTTTCCTAAACACTTTGCTGCTTGCTATCATAAAATTTCATCTTTTCTTTCTCAATTTTTCTAAAGGAAATATTTTAATAAAGGTTTTTCAATAATAACAAATTTTCTTACCCCCCCTCCACCCTCCCCCCTCCTTCACCCCTCACCACGTCAGTATAGATAGCTAGATAGATAGATATTCGGTCGATTGCCTGTTTCAAAATTTATTAGGTTTGTTCAAATACATAAAAGATACCTTAAGGATTTGATGTAGTTTGATTTTCATTGCTATTTATACGTCGAGGTTTAGCTTGATTTGCGATTTTACTTTGTTTTGTTAGTATATCGAAATTTCCCTAATACTTGCATAGAGGGGATCTAATGCTTTGGATTTAATGGAATTTTTATGATGGATATTACGGTTGTTTTTCTTTTTTTTATTGTTTCGCCGTTTCCTTCGTTGTTTTCACAACAACATAATGGTAAAGTGAAGATTTTATCAAGAGATAGCGAGACATAATCATTTTGTTGTTCCTTTTGCAATTATTATTGCAGTGTGCGTGTTTTTATAAATAAAACCGAAATTCCATTTCAAAAATTATGGGAATAAGTTGGGATTTCTTAACTTATTTCAAAGATTTAGGTAAGTAGCCTATCTTCCTTAAACAAATGGTAAGAATAGCATAGTTATCGTAACGGTGGCATTGTCGTTTGTCAATTTGGACGATCAGTTTCAGTTGTAAAACATTATTAAAGAAAGAAATGTGAAGTTCAAGTATTGCGTGCAGCTTCGTGGGCCTTGTTTGCTTTTTAACATTGACGGATAAGCATATGTAGGCAAAAAATTTAGGTTAATTTCGTATATGTAGGCAAAAAATTTAGGTTAATTTCGTATGCATTTCTTTTTCTATCCTTAGATTTAGAATCTTTGCATGGAATTACAAGATTAATTAATTTCCATTTCTTATGAGCACTTTCCAGGCTTATGAGTAACAATTTAAGTAAGACAGGCTTTGGCAAATGAAATTTTATTTGCTTTTGTTTATATAGTTGATGGATAAAGCACTTACCTCTCTCGCAATCCGTAGTCGACGGAGATTGGCGACTATCAGAACTTTGCGGTGAAACAGCTCCACCATCTGGCTCTGAGCTGGATACACATTGAACCTGTGATTATATGAAACAACAAATATTTAAAATTTTATATTCGTAGAGTTAAGGTAGTTTTAAAAACATTCCCGTCGCGTCACAAATATAAATATGTTTTTTTTTTTTTGTTTTTAATTTTTAGAAAAAATTTTCCTTACCATGTCACTGCCACTGCTGCGATGGCTAGGCGGCCTCTCTGGACTTCGAGGACTGTGAGTGGTTGTGTCGGGAGGACTGCCTGCCACTGACCGCGCACCATTACCATTCATAGCCGAGGGTGATGATGATGAAGTAGCCGTTTCTAAAACAATACCTACTTGATCGTTAACCATAGCATTTAGATTTTGTTGTTGCTGTTGCTGCTGTTGATGATGTTGAATAGTTTGTAAAGTGACTGTTTGCTGTTGAGATGTTACCAATTGTTGTTGCTGTTGTTGTTGTTGTTGTTGCGGTTGAGTGGTTTGTTGTTGCACTTGAATGGTGCTATTCTGTTGTTGCTGTAATAGATTTTGTACGGTACTTTGTTGTGTAGTCGCAGTCGGCATCACCAAACCCATAGGGGTTGAATAGATTTGACCGATTGGACTCAATTGACCGTTACTGCCGACTATGAATTGTTGACCCGTGGCTGCTGGTGAGATGAATTGCTTGCTTGTTTGCGGAGATGCAGCTCTTAACATCATTGTGCCTTGCGGTGTAGTGGCGGTTAGTATACTTGTTGTGGGTGCACAGGCTCCAACATTCTGCAATTGTAGTAGGGTGGTTGTGTCTGGTCGCATGACAAGGCCTGCGGGCACTAACAGCTGTTGTCCAATAAGATTCATTGGTTGTATAAGTTGTCCATTCTGTAGCAATATTTGTTGTGTTTGTGGGTGAGCAGGAGCTGCCGTAGCTGGTTTATTAACAACAATACCTTGTATGCCCGAACCCAATTGGAATTGTTGATGGTAGGGCGTAGTCGTGGTGGCGGCAGAAGCTGTAGTTAGTTGCACTACTTGCGGTTGATTTGATGTTTGTTGTTGTTGTTGTTGAGCTGCCGCTGCTACAGTAGCGGCATGTTGTTGCAAAATGGTGGCCGTTTGATTCGGTATTGTTGGTGAAATTTGAGCCGTTACATTTTGCCCGCTACTAATGAGTGTAGGACTTGTCGAGTTTTTACGTTTCTTGGCACGTCGCTTTAAGTCAGTTGCTTGCGAAGTAATGATAATGCGCTGCCCTTGTTGTTGAGGTACAGACGTTTGCATATACGTTCCTAATGGCTGCTGGACTTGTATTTGAGATACCATTTGACCATCTAATGTCGTAAACTGTTGTTGTGTGGTAGCAGTAGCAGTTTGCGGTTGTTGCTGTTGTATAACATAACCTCCATTTGTTAAATTATTCAAGACTACAGTCTGTTGACCTAAAACTCCAGCGGTTGTAGCAGTAGTGGGGGCACTTATCAATTGATTACCCGCAGTAATGATCGACTGATTACCGGTGGTGTGAATTATGTTACCAGTGTTTGTTAGTACTTTCGCTCCGTTATTAGCTAAAATATTCTGACCGGTTGAATTAAGTATAACGGTGGTAGGTTGCAATTGTGTATGCGTACCAGCCGTTGTTGCAGCCTGACTAACAATGTAACTTGCACCATGTTGAGGTTGTATTGTTGCCGCTAACTGTCCAGTACTATTTATTACTTCCATTTGCCCTGTTCCTTGTTGTTGTATAATAACATTCGCAGTACCAGGTTGAGGGGCTGTTGCATTTCCACCGGCAATTAAAAGCTGATGTTGTGGCTGCTGCTGTTGTTGCTGTAGAACTTGAGTTTTCGCTTGAGAAGTTGGCATCACAATTAGTTGACCCGTCGAAGTCATTATGATTTGAGAGTTTCCGGGTTCATTTGCTTTAAGTATGGGTTGCAGTTGTACTTGATTGATAGGTATGGCCGTGCTTGTTGAGATTTTTTGTAAGGTAGCCTGAATCTTTTGTGTCGTTGCGGGTGGTGGTATGATATTGAAGCGCTGCTGGCTGCCTGCTGTAGTAGTAGTTGTAGCTGCCCCTCTATTTCCGGCTATTGTTGTTACCGTAGTTCTGGTCGATGTGCTCGGTGTATTGGCGGCCAAGATTTTTTGTTGTGGACCACTTTGAATTTGGGCGTTACTTTTAATTTGTCGTACAATGCGTACTTGCTGAGGTTGATGAGACGGTGTCGATGGCTGCGGTGGCTGTTGTTGCAAGCGAATTTGCATTGTTGGTTGCGGTGGCATTGGTGATATGGCCGGCGAAGGTGCCGCCCTTGAAGTGGAAATTCGTGAGCTGGTAGACTCGACAGAGCCAGCAGGTGAAGGGGGACAAGGTCGTGGACTTTCATGACTGGTAGAGACAGCACCTACTTGTTCTGGCTTCTTCGTACCGTCGGGTGTCTGACGTTGCAAGTCGGGTGTAGATCGTGGTCCGCCAACTGTACTCGAAGACACTGGAGATTCCTGGGCTACTGGCACTAGCTTGACCGGTGGTTTTATGTGATTAGTTCCAGCAGACATGTAAAGAGAGTTTTGTTGCTGCGTTTGTAAAGTTGGTTTTGTAATGTTTTTAATTTCATATGTAGTTAGGGAGTTTCCTAAATTCATAGAAATTTTTGCTTGACTAGTCTGCTGGGCAGCTGGGGTTTGCTGCTGAGTAACGCATTTACGTTGATTGGTTGCGAATTGTTGAGGACGATAATAGATATTGGCATCATGAACTGCATTTTTTTCAAGAGTAGCTTCTATTTGGACTGGTTTCTCAATCACAGTTTGTTCACATATTGATTTTTGGGTTTCTTCCATATCGTCCTCTGCTTCGTCTTCTTCGCCACTTTCCTCCTCTACTTGCGCTTCCTCATCGTCTTCCATATCTTCTTCGTCTCCCGCTTCTTCTCCATTATCATTTTCATTTTCATCATCTTCATATTCTTCTTCCTCCTCTTCTTCCAGTTCAGGGCTTTGCTCGGTTGCCTCAATGCTTTCGTTAACTAATATGTTGTCTTCAATTTCCTTATTTTCAATTTTAAATTCATCTTCATTATCATCTTCCGATTCTTCTTCCATTTCCATATCCTCGTCAGGATTTTCGACTTCTTCCATTTCATTATCATTCACCACAGTTACATTTATTATTGAATTTTCAAGTAACGCGTTTGTTGGCTGTAAATAGTCGTTACCTGCATCTTCCTTTAGATTCGTTTTGAACTCTTTGCTGTTATTGGATTCATTTAAAATGTAATTAGTTCGACTATCACGTGAATCTGACCATTGAAAGTGCCCAGCATTTGAATTTATTGTTGGATGGCTTTGCATTTGAGCATCTACTGAATTTCGTAAATCATGTGGCAATGGTGGTATACGGTCTACATGCGGCCAAATTTTATTGCCACCTTGCGGTAAGTTAGAGCAAGACATTCTTATGTTACCGTTACAGTTGCCATTGATATCGTGGTTGTTGCCATTAGAATTGCTGCCGGTATTAGAATTCGTTTCAAATGTTTCGGTTATCACATGCTGTTGATTTTGATCCTTTTGATTAGTGTGTGGCTGCCGGTGCTGCTGTGTTTGTGGCTGTTGAATGGCAGGCGGTAACATTTTATAGTTTTGACTAGATTGTTGCTGTTGCTGTTGTTGTTGTTGTTGTTGTTGTTGTTGCTGAAGCTGTTGTTGTTGCTGCTGTTGATCATTAACAAATAGCGAAGATTGAGACGCAGGTATTTGATTACTGTTTGGCGGCATATCATTAACATTTCTACCGTGGCTACTAATAGGTTCCGCCAGATGTAGCTTACGACGTTTGGCATCTACAATAATAGGAAAAGAAAAAACGAAATATGGTTAGTTATGCGCTTTACCGAATGAATTGCAAAATTATATATAACAGCAATTGGGAAAAAAGGTTATATGTATATAGTTTAAACATACTCTAGTGCTCTTTGCACTATAAAGCTCCCGCTGCTTTAACAGATGTTAAGATTGTTATACATTGACATCATTTGCATTTTGATGAAGAATTTCGAAAGTTTACTTTTCCTAATAATGATTTATTGATTACAGACAAGAGAAGGCGTGAGAGAGAGAGAGAGAGAGTGAGTTAAAGACAAAGGAAGAATGTATCGATGGATGGTTAGAAACGTCACGGTAGTCTATATATTATGGTCCATGTTTATTTGCTGTTCTCTCTATGAAACATTGCAAAGTTTATGATGATGTTGAAAAAAAAAACTTTTTTATTGCCAGGTAGCCGGTTATTAATCATCTCTTACAGACATCATAACACACACAATAGACAGAAAGACAGACATGCATGCATGTACACAGTAGCAAGGAAGGTAAAAATAAAAATGAGAGGGAAAGAGTTATTTATTTACAATGCAGTCAAAGTGAATAATGTGGAAAAGTTTGCGAATGAATATATGGGTGACGACGATGAAGTATGTTGTGTGAGCGAGTGTGTGTGTGTGTGTGTGTGTGTGTGTGTATGCGCGCGCGTTTATGTGCAGTAAATTAATTCAACTGTTTCTTTTGTGTATTGTGTTTTTATTTTAATTTTCTTTTTTTTTTTTTTTTTGTTTTTCTGCAAAACAAACAGAAAAACGTTTCATAAAAGCAATCAATTAAAATCCATCGATAAACATCTACCGACAACATAAAAACGCAAAACGTGCATGTATTGTAAGTAAAAACATAAACATATATATATACATGAACATGTTAATGTAGAGGTTAACACGCACTGTATCAAATAGAAAGAGAGATTAAATATGGAAAAAGTCTAGACTTTAGTCTAAACATGAAAATAAGTTTGTATGTAAAGTATGCGATCAGAGTGGTACAAATGAACAGTTACGTTATTAAGTGTTGACATTTATTAGGAGGTATCAAATATATTTTCATATCATTAATCTGATAATTTTTATGTAACTTTTATGCAACATAACTTAGACAATGTTAACGCAATGGACAATTATAGGTTGCTTTAGATGTAACTAAGCACGTAACATGAATGTCATGAAAAATGGAATGGCTAGTGTGTTGCCAGTCATCCTATGGACTCTTCAAATTAATTTCTTTCCTAAAATTAATTTTCTTAGCAAATTTTTTAATCAGTTTGGTTATCACATGAGCTGCAAACTGCGCAGAGATAGAGAAATGATTTGCTTCTTTGAAAGCCTGAATTCTTTTAATGGAAAACGATTAGATGTTATCTGCTTTTTAAAGATTTTCAATAAACACATACTTTTGCGTACAAACTGGGCGCCAGTTTTGGGTTTACTAAAAAGGACAGAGTTTCGTAAAATATATTTTATAAGCGCTCGGAAATTCACATATGCAAGAGTAAGCGTAGAAAAATTTTTTTTGGAGCTTCTGCGAAGACTTCAAGGCACTTGCATTAAAATTGTTGGAGACGTCCACGGTCTAGCAAATCCAAAACACATAGGTGCAAGGAAAACAAGTTTACATATCTCAAATTTCAATTTTAAAATAAATTTTCGCTTTATTGGTTCAAAGAGTTTTGTTTAAAACTTTTTTTTTGCCTTTAATTGCTATTTATATTTGCTGAAGTCTTCACCCGTATCCCTAATCATCGTTTTGCGTCATATTTGGACAGTTTACAATCTGTTTATGTCAATTGAAAAACCATTGCCTTTTTAAATTATTAACTGGACGTGTCCGGCCATTGCAACTATTTGCTGGAAAGTGCTTGCAATTCCGTAACAAAAAGAAATCAAAAGAAATAGCATTCATATGAAAAAATATCATCAATTAAATATCATGATGTAAAAAAAAAAATCGCATCTAATCAAATTGCAAGAATTTTGCTAAAATCTCATATAAAATAGTGCGAGAATAGGAGAGAGAGAGGAAGAGAGCGATATATAGTAAATGTTCAAGTTTTTGTTGTTAGAATTTCTTTGCACCACCCTAATGGAAATTTTTACGTTTTGTACATTTAGGGTATAAAACATATGTCATCATATCTCGGTAGTATTTGCATATACTTCAATGACAATAACATTGGCGTAACACATTGCTATGCCTAGGCTTGACAGAGTTAAGCGCACGAAGGTATGCTGCATGCATGCATTAAAGTTTTCTATGTTTGCTTATACTCTTTCCGTATTTCACGTATTATTGTTTGTTATTTCACGACAAATTATGGCGAAAAGATATTGCATATAAAATATTCCTTAATTATATCGCAACTGCCAGGTAAACATATATATATTTTCATTTCATGCTGCGTGTAATGAATGAATTTATCGGCTTATAATCGCTGCTATGTTTTTGTAATTAAAATATGTAAACATTTACATTTTCTATTTTTTTTTTATTTTTTTTATTTTTTTTATTTATACATTTGAGGTGAGTGACTGACTGCGCGCTCTACCTCAATTACCGGCGACCAGATATATTAGCAAAGTCTGGACGTCCGTTAATTTGGCCGACATGCGATTGCATAAAAGTCTCTAAGCAAACAGTTAAAAATTTTTCATTAAAAAAAAAAAAAAAAAAAAAAAAAAAACCAAAAAAAAAACAAGGAAAAAATGAAAGAAAATAATAAAACAATATTTATTTTCGCTTTTAAACATGATTTTAAAACTTTGATAAGCATTTTACAATACGACTCACATTACAATAATGCAACAGAGCACAGCAACAACACGAGCAATAATTGCCAACAGGCAACAGCCCAAACAGACCAAAGGATCTGTTTACGTTAACCCGCTAGTTAGGTTGTGTCGTATTAATACAGCATTCATTTTTTTTTTTGCATTTTTATTGTGTTTGGTTAAGTGCTTACATACCCTCCCACTCTTCCACTCTCTCACTCGCTCTAGCTCTGTGGCATATCATTCACTATCAGCTGCTACCAATACACTTGAAGCTATTTGTTGTCAAGTCAATCGCGATACTTCTGTTGCGTTCGTTTCACTTCTGCTTCGAATGAAGCAGTGCAAGTGTAGTGCGTGTTGTTGAACGGTTTCATGTTTTAGTAATTTGTTGTTTAGCTACTACACATATTTTGTATTTGTTTATCGATTCCACTGCCCACTACTTTACTCTACTTTTAGCGGTTTTTTCGGCTAACAAAACACAACCCGACATACATTTGTTAACTTAGTTGTTGTTTTATTTGAAAATCGTTTTATTGCGTGTTCAAGATTATAATTTAAATGTTCGGTTTTTTTTGGTGGAGCTTAACCCGCGTGCGGTAAAGAAGCAGACCCATGTCGCACAGGCATGTATCAATGTGCGTTAAATTTATCGTTATGGGTTTGCATCGTTATATGTTCACAGATATAGAAATGTAAGCGGATAAATAAGGTCGCTATTTTAATTATATATTTAACGGTACGATAGAAGCTTGTAATAAGTTTTCGATAAAAACAAAACAATTTAGATGAGTTTTCATCGCACACGCTGCCTTGTCTATGTTAGGTTAAACTAAATGATTGTAACAAAAGAAAGGAAAATCCATTATTAGAGATGATGCAGAGCGCATTTATTATTCCTAGTTACCATACCATACACAGCGACAATGAATTTTGTTTTTACTCCTTCAACCAATCATTGGAACGATAATTGCGATTACGAAATTTTACCCAGGACTATGAAGTTAATCTTGAATGCTATATGTGTATTCCTGATAGATTTGGTTTCAAGTATTAATGAAATTTCTTCTTAGTTTTATCCATCCATAACCAGAGATAATTTGAAAATTATACGGGTCGCTTTTGTAAGAGCAGCACTGTCAAAACAACCACGTAAGCGCAAGTGAAAACGATTCGTTCTTGGCCAAATGCAATGTTTTCCTCTTTTGCATCATTTTAAACCCGTTTTTTTTTTTTTTTTTTTTTTTTTTTAGAATTTTGTGTTAATTAAAATGGGTAAAATTATCGTTGGGCGCGTCAATAAATTATCCTGTTTGCAAATCATTTAGTTTAATTTCAATAAATTAAATAGTTAAATAATTTATAGTCTGTTACAAGCCAGCCTATGTCCGTGAGAGTTGGAAAAAGTAGGCAATCTATTGTACACGCTATAAAAACATGCTCAATTACGCAGACGGTCGATGTCAATTTGCTTAAATGACTATTTATTCAGTTCATCATTCATTTTATCATTGCATTGAGTTTCTATTATATAATGCATATGAATGAAAGCAGAAACAAATCTTGCTCGAAAATGTATTAAAATTTAAATCGTAATACGACTCAGTAAATTCGAAATGATTCAATCCTCTTATAGAAAAGTTCTTTGATTCTGTCTGTTTCGGTTCATTTAATGAAAAGCCATCTATTCAGTAATGACTTAGTGATGATAACGATATGAGACAGAAGGGTGCTAAAGATTAACAAGTAAAACCATTATAGTCGGTCATGGCTCACAGCTAAATACCCTGCACGACTACGCTTAATAAAGTTATTCAAGAAAATGACTTTTTAAGCAGTGGTTGGAAAAGTGGTTCGGTGGCCACCGTTTTTACTAGTACTCGGTCTTACGCCAAAACATGTCGATATACCAAAGTGCATCAAAATATCACAAAAATTTCGTTCACAAAGCTATCTGGCTAAACATGTGACAGGCGAACGGACAAACGAACCTGGACCCGTGTAATATAATAAGGTGGAGAATAGGGTTTTTCATACTTTTAGACTTATTATAAAATAAAACAACACTTAACTTTTAAAGAGAATTAAAAGAAATTTAAATTTAACTAACTGTCACACATATTGTTTTAACGTAAATTAGGGAAACGCTGATTTTCTCTACTTTGCCTAAACAAAAAGTAAGAGTC